AGACCCTAAATAGATTTCCACAAATAAATAACAAATTATCGAAAAAGTTTTGTATACGATAATTGTCTAATCGAACATAATTTCGATAGAAAATAGAAATAGACGTTTCTTACAGGTTCTAGAACAGAGCATTATTTTTCTAGTTCCTTTAGAGAAACAGGTTATTGAACGATTTTCTATGAAATAACTTGTTATCGAAAGGTTTTTTATTTTATTTTTATTATAATTTCTCTCTTAGAAAAACATGTTATTAAAAAAAAATATGGTCCATATACGTACTAGACGCAGTAAGAATGTAAAAAATCGACTACGATAATCGATTTTTCCTTTATGAAATCGATAATAAATTACGAAACTAGTAAATCCTTGCAGGTTCTGGAACAGAGCAATAATGTGTTGTTATCGACCAAGTTTTACATAAAAGTTTGAATTCCGAAACAGTTTAATTTCATTTAAATAAGAACTTACTATCGAAAAAAATGCTAAAAAAATACTTGTTATCGAACCTTTTTCTCCACTAAGGATATGTTTTTTTTAGCCAGTTTGACAATAACTTAACCCATTTTAATATCTAGTTACTAAATTCGAATGCAAAAATGTATTTGTGTCGGACACATTCGCATGTTTTCCACCACTATAACAGAAACATTCAATCATTTGTTATCTCATGTGGTCTGTAGATCTAAAAATGACAACTATGGCAATGTACAGCATAATGATGTTGCCTTTCAAAAGGCTGATACGACTGCACCCGCAACTTTAAAAAAAATATGAGAAATTTGAAATTTAGTGTTTTGCATGAATTGATTGAGGACAAACAGGCGCGCATCTATAATAGACAGAGGAGGAAACTGCAAGTACCAAGAACATTATAAATAATTTGAGTTAGGAAAAAACATCAAGAGAATATATTTCTTTTGATAAATCTATAACAACAAATAAAGAAAAAAATAACATGGAATGGCAATAAATATGAGTTATCGAAAATCCTCTTCTACTAACCTAAAACTGAAAGATAATGAATGGTCTGTTCCAGAACTTCAATAATGTAAAAAAATTACATTAACCGATTTTCCCTTTATGATATCGAAAGAAATTGCAAAACTTGTAGACACTTGCAGGTTAAGGAAAAGAGCAGAAGGATACGTTTATATATGTTCCAGAACTGCAAGAATGTAAAAGTTTTTACAACGATAACCGATTTTTCCTTTATGATATCGAAAATTTTTCAAAACTAGTACATTCTAGCAGGTTCTGGAACAGAACTAATGTAATTTGGAACCAGCTTCAAAATTGTTGGGTGATTAGGCAGCATTAAAATTTTATTCTTTGTAAATACTAAAGCTGCTATCAGATGATAAGGGTTTTACGAATGAAGTGTCAAATTTTCATAGTGTAGAAGTTGCACGCATCGTGTGATACATGGACGATATTTCAGTTGTGAAATACATGAGAAAATTACATATGAACTTTTTCGATCACGGCGAGCCCTATTTTCATCAGAAAAATATAATTTAATCAAAAGTTTTGTTTGTTTGTTGTTGTGTGAAAATATATAAAATTAAATTTGCGATAAAAAGTCACCGATAAAGTGTTATATTTTTATAGAAAATACAATAAAATCACTATGTAACCAAAGGAAATAAAAAAAAATATTCAAGTGTGTGATAGCAAGACTTATGAGTCATATGTACAATTTTGACATACACACGGAAATACACATGTATATTAAAAGTGACAGCACATGTGTAGAACGTTATCGTGCGATAACAGCGTAAACGCGCCAACGGCTGTTACCATCATGGTAGAAGAATACAAGTAGTCGCATCGACACAGATGCTGGGACAAAGAACTGTCAAACCAATTTTGGTATTGAAGATTTTTAATGAAAAATTATTTAAATTTTTAAAAATTGTGAAAAAATTCATATCTTAACAACGTTCGATTGACGTCGTATAAGAAAACATATACAAATCCACTTATTTTTGTCAAAACATTTTAAAAATTTTGACATGTCAATGTTTCCAAGCGTTGATGCATCTAATTATATTCTTCTACCATGGTTACCTTCTATTCTTATACCATGTTCAGAGGGCGTATTCCCATGTGAAAGTAAACGGTATTGCAGCTATTTGCTTAATTTCCAATTTTTTTCTTTATCATTCCATTTGTTTTGATTGAAAACTATGTCACAAAGGAAAGATAAAAATTACTTTAAGTAAAATGATTTTTTAATAACTTTGACCTAAAGCGAACATAGCCTGAAAGTTTTCCTTTGATAGTTTTATAAACATCCTTATTATACCATGATTTATTCTCATTTATCACAGCTAATCTTTAAGATTGGTTGTCACAATAATTATTACAATTAAAATCACAGAAAAAAACATTGACAAAATTTTTACACTGCATTTGGTTTTGAAAATTTGATGGAATACTTTATAGATTTGTCTGGAATTGTCCAGCAACTTCTTTCGGAGTGAGTAAGGCTGGAAATACATAAAGCGCATATTTGCACGCATCGTGTGATACATGGACGATATTTCAGTTGTGAAATACATGAGAAAATTACATGTGAAATTTTTCGATCACGGCGAGCCCTATTTTCATCAGAAAAATATAATTTAATCAAAAGTTTTGTTTGTTGTTCTGTGAAAATATATAAAATTAAATTTGCGATAAAAAGTCACCGATAAAGTGTTATATTTTTATAGAAAATACAATAAAATCACTATGTAACCAAAGGAAATAAAAAAAAATATTCAAGTGTGTGATAGCAAGACTTATGAGTCATATGTACAATTTTGACATACACACGGAAATACACATGTATATTAAAAGTGACAGCACATGTGTAGAACTTTATCGTGCGATAACAGCGTAAATGCGCCAACGGCTGTTACCATCATGGTAGAAGAATACAAGTAGTCGCATCGACACAGATGCTGGGACAAAGAACTGTCAAACCAATTTTGGTATTGAAGATTTTTATTTAAATTTTTAAAAATTGTGAAAAAATTCATATCTTAACAACGTTCGATTGACGTCGTATAAGAAAACATATACAAATCCACTTATTTTTGTCAAAACATTTTAAAAATTTTGACATGTCAATGTATCCAAGCGTTGATGCATCTAATTATATTCTTCTACCATGGTTACCTTCTATTCTTATACCATGTTCAGAGGGCGTATTCCCAGGTGAAAGTAAAAGGTATTGCAGCTATTTGTTTAATTTCCAATTTTTTTCTTTATCATTCCATTTGTTTTGATTGAAAACTATGTCACAAAGGAAAGATAAAAATTACTTTAAGTAAAATGATTTTTTAATAACTTTGACCTAAAGCGGACATAGCCTGAAAGTTTTCCTTTGATAGTTTTATAAACATCCTTATTATACCATGATTTATTCTCATTTATCACAGCTAATCTTTAAGATTGGTTGTCACAATAATTATTACAATTAAAATCACAGAAAAAAAACATTGACAAAATTTTTACACTGCATTTGGTTTTGAAAATTTGATGGAATACTTTATAGATTTGTCTGGAATTGTCCAGCAACTTCTTTCGGAGTGAGTAAGGCTGGAAATACATAAAGCGCATATTTGGCTGGCTTAAGTCATCGGCTGGCTTCTTCGTAAATGAGCAAAGGAGTTTTAGGTTGACCTAGTTCGATTTTGGTCCTAGGCTCCTTTGTTCATTTCCGAAGAAGCCAGCCGATGACTTAAGCCAGCCAAATAAGCGCTTTATGTATTCCCAGCTTAAGGTAGGTAAAATACTCATTTGCAATAAAATTGTGGAAAGTAAACATAAAACTCTAAAACATTCAAACAATCAGCTGATTTGTCAAAATAAAACAATTTCTCCGCCAATCAAGCGAAATGAAGAATGCAAAAATTAAAAATGATAAAAAATAAAGCTGTTATAAAATTGCTACCCCAAATAAAAATCACTGGTCCATCAACTTTTGTTCTGATAATGTAAAGGTGAGAGTACATAAATAGCATGAAGTCTTCGCATGGCATATTTTGTGAAATATCATAAAGGATTGCCAGATCCGCACTCAAATTCTGCCGTCGTTTCTCTTTATAATTTGACATTAATATGCCTAGCCATGATGCCAAGCTGCTTATGTAACCTCTCCTTAAGGTAGTTTTATACTCTTTTGCAAGAAAATTGTGTAAAGTAAACATAAAGCTTAAAAGCGTTCAAGCAATCAGCTGATTTGTCAAAACAAAACGATTTCTCCGCCAATCAAACGAAATGAAGCACGCAATAATAAAAAAATGATAAAAAATGACAATGTTTTAAAATTGTCAGACCAAATTTAAATCACCGGAAAGTTTTTAATGAAACATATATAAATTGTCAACTCCACAACTATTAAAAAACACCTTTTTCGTGCCAGGGCTGGATTTCTGTTCTATGAAAATATGATATAAAAATTATTTCCTTTAAACAATGTTTCATTTGACATTTCTTTCCTATGGTACACTTGCCATGGTAATCTCATGCTATCATGCCATTACAATTTTTTTCTTTTACGTCCCTTCATTGTCAAATTTATTTTTTGTAGTTCTACCTTAAATATGGGCGTATGTTGAAAAGATTTTTTCATTCATTTCAGACCAAATACTTTGTTCTCTGTATGTTTAAGTCCAAGAACAGATAAATAAATTTGGTATTTCTGAAATATAGAATGTAAAACTGTTTTTGCGTGCCAAGGAACGCTGAAAAAATACATTTATTATTTTTGTAAAATCTGCCACTAGTCATACGGAAATATTTTAGATATGAAATAGATAAAAGGTCAAGTTCATCAGAAAAGGGTTGCCATACTTAAATTAGCAAATGAATTTACCTTTATTGTTTTGCCATGTCCTTCGCTTTATAAAATTTTTCATTTCACATTTTCATAGAACAGAAGTGACCCCTCAGAACACACACAACCTACCGCAATAACTCTTATTTAAGCCATTTCACAAGCCATCACTTACCAAAAATGGTATTATTCGGATTCATAGCCACTTGATTTTTGGCAGCATCACCAATCAAACGTTCCGTATCAGTGAAAGCCACATAGGAGGGGGTGACACGATTGCCTTGATCATTGGCAATGATTTCAACTTTGCCATGCTGAAAGACACCAACACATGAATAGGTGGTGCCCAAGTCGATGCCAACAGCCGGAACTTTAGCCATTACAACCGCAAAAACAAGCTGCACGCGTGCAACGCCAGCGTAACAGACAGATTAACACGTGTTCGCGTCCACAACAGACAACACGAAGGAGAGGGAATAGAAAAGAAAAGCGTTTACATGATTAATTTTCTCGACATTACATAATGACCTTGAACATGAATTGCACTGCAGATAGATGTTACCTTTTCGTTTGTGCCTTTTTTAAACGTTTAAAGCGAAAAATTCGGGGTCTATTGGGATGTTAAAGAGCCCCCCTTGCCGTTTAGAACGTAAAACGATAGAGATATAGTGAAATTATCAAAAACAAAAGGACAAAGGCCAAAACGCGCAGGAATTCAAGGGCTTTATCCTTTTGCAGCTCCACAGCGTCAGAGATAATTGACAAATTGTTAGATAATAAAAATTAATTCCTGTATTTTTTCAACGCGCACGAAAATTCTCCTTTTTTCGTTGGCCTTGCACAAGAACTTTTGCTCGATTTTTCGTATTTCAATTTGAATTTTCTAGATTATTTTTATTCCTTTTTTTATTTATAGTTGTTGGCCACAAGAAATTCACTAAAACAGATCTGCTACGATTTGCTTGCTTGCTTGATTGTTTTGGTTTCCCGTTTATGTTCCGTCTTCGATCGCTGCTAAATGTCGTTTGTTGTGATCTTCGCGGGTTGGATGTTCAGTAAATGAATGCACTTTCTATTTCGCTCTTTTGCTCGAACAGTTGTTCTCTCGATGTCAATTTTCATTTGTTGCAAATTCACTTTCGTTGCAAGGTAAGAGAACTTTCATGCTATTTTTGCCACTTGGCAAAAAATGCTCTCTGCAATGTTGTTTTAAATATGTTTTGCAAATGTCATACATATAAAATATGAATTGCAATAAAATATTGTTATTTTCTTTTTCGAAAGCGGAAGCCAATTTTTAAAACATATCAACAATTAAAAATTTTTAACATTTTTAGGGTGGAAATACATAAAGCGCATATTTGGCTGACTTCGAATACATAAAGCGCATATTTGGCTGGCTTAAGGCTGGAAATACATAAAGAGCATATTTGGCAGTCTTAAGTCATCGGCTGGCTTCTTCGTAGATGAACAAAGGAGTTTTAGGTTGACCTAGTTCGATTTTGGCCCTAGGCTCCTTTGTTCATTTCCGAAGAAGCCAGCCGATGACTTAAGCCAGCCAAATAAGCGCTTTATGTATTCCCAGCTTAAGCCAGTCAAATAAGCGCTTTATGTATTCTCAGCTTTAGCCTATCATTATTAGAGAGAAAGCTAAATTTTAGTTTTCAATGTGGAGTATGGCTATGAACTTTGGCATGGAAGAACTGTACTAGGATAGCCAACCATAAAGGTGAGAATACATAAAACGCTTTTTTGACTGGCTAAGTCATCGCCTGTCTTCTTCGGAACAGAACAAAGGAGCGTTGTTCCATAATCGAACTAAGTCAACCTAAAATTCCTTTGTTCCTCTACGAAGAAGACAGCCGATGACTTAAGCCAGTCAAAAAAGCGTTTTATGTATTCTCACCTTAAGTTTATCCTTCTACATACCATATTTTTTATAGATACACTGACAATTAAGGATAAAAGTTCTTGTAAAACTATAAAAGAGAGCAGTACAAAGCTTAACTAATTATAAAGGTGCAAGTACATAAAAAGCTTGAAGTCATGGCTAGGCATATTAATGTCAAATTATAATAGAAAACGACGTTGTCACAAAATATGCCTAGCCATGACTTCAAGCTACTTATGTACTTCCACCTTAATGTTCCTTCTTTCGAATATAAGAAAAATGTGTTTTTGTAAAGTATTTTGTGACATCTGAAAATTGCAGTAGTTTTTATTTCTGTTGTAATATTGTGCCTAATTTATATAAGTTTGAATTTTTCCGCATAAAAAAAAAACTGCAACAAAGTCAAACGCCATAATTTTTATATATATTTTTTTTTAGATTTTATTGGATGAAAGCCAAAAATGTCAGAAATAGCATCAAATTTTAAAATAAGTTTAGATTTGTTCGAATTGGTCACCTTTAGCACGAATTATGGCCTTCAAATGGCAAATGAAACCGTCACACGCTGACCGAGTGTGGCTCTGCGGAATTTTGGTCCATTCCCGGCGAAGCGTTTGCTTGAGGTGATCGACACTTTGGTATTTTTTAGCGCCAACCTTCTTTTCCAAAATACCTCAGACACAATAGTCCAACGGATTTGTATCCGGAGATTTTGGTGGCCATTGTGCGCTGGAAATGAAGCGAGGAACCCCATTTTGGAAACATTCTTGAGTGGCGCCTGCTGAGTGCGATGGCGCTGAGTCCTCTTGCAAAGTCCAAGGTCTGCGGCCAAAATGTTTGCGTGCCCAAGGCCTTAATACACCCTCCAGAATATTTTCGCGATAATATTCGGTATTTATTCTGATGCCACGGTAGATTAATACGAGCAGAGGGCGACCATCAGCTGTTATGCCGACCCACACCATCACAATTGCCAACCGAAGGTTCACATTTTCAGCTGATCTCTTTGGCAAGTAAACACGATAATTTTGTTTGTTTACAAACTTCTGGACAACGAATGTTTTCTCATCGGAGAAAACCAAATTCGCCAATTCACCACTTTCGAACAAGCGAAGCAAATCTTTAGCTATTTTGATTCTATTTTCTTTGACTCTTGTGGTGTAAGTTCTTGCACTTTTTGGAATTTCAATGACTTTACCCCGAGTTCATTTTTCAATTTTTGCAGAATGGAATATTGCGATATGTTCAGCTCACGAGGCATTTTTCGGCCACTGCAACGCGGGTTTCGATCAAGTCGCTTCTTTACTTTTCGAATCATATCTGCTGATGTTGCTGTTTTCTTCCGTCCACTTCCTTGACGTCGGGCTACGCTACCAGTCTCACGGTAACGAGCGCTGATACAATACACAAAATATTAATTCATCTTTTAAATGCTGGAGTGCTCTAACGATAGCCACTTGTGGTTTTTCAGCCAAATATAAAGAAATCACACTATCACGCTTGAATTCCATCACGAATAACTTTTTTTCTGGAAAGTTCTCACCAAAAACCTTTTGTACGGTTGTGAAGAATATAATGAGCTGTCACGGGAATAGTTTTAAAAGCTGTCGGACGAGTGGCTTAGAAATGACAGAAGTCTGAAGTTGGTTGCAGTTTTTGCATCTCACCCTGTACGTTAAATAAGCCCTCATAAAGGAGGTGAAAGGGGAGAATACATAAAATGCTGTTTTGTTTGGCTTAAGTCACTGGCTGTCTTCTTCGGAAAAGAATAAAGGGGCGTAGGGCCCAAATCAAACTAAGTCAACCTAAACTTCTTTGTTCCTCTACGAAGAAGCCAGCCGGTGACTTAAGCCAGTCAAAAATTCGTTTTATTAAGTCTGAAACAATACTAATATTACAATACTACTATTCCCTTCCTGCATGGTAAAAGAATACATGTAGTCACATCGACACAGCTGCTGGGACAATGAACTGTCAAACCGATTTTGGAATTGAAAATGTTCAATAAAAAACTATTGAAATTTGTAAATACTTCTGAGAAATGCATATTATAACAAGCTCCGATATATATAAGAAAACATATATATAAGAAAACATATTTAAATCGACTAATTTTTGACAAAATATTTTAAAAATTTTGACATATGTTCCCAAGCATTGATGCATCTACCTGTATTCTTCTACCATGCTAGAACCCCACTCCTGCTTCTCTTACCTAGTGTTTACACAGAACAAATTGTTAATTGAGAATTTTATTTTTTTAAGGTACGATAGTTTTCATAACTGTCAAACGTTTTTCAACGACAGTAATTGCTAACAATTTTTGACATTACGAACAAAAGAAAAAAGGAATATAAAATACAAATTGCCTATAAGAGCATTTTATTCAATTATTGTACAAAATTTTTGTGGACCAGTGTTCAATACCCGAAATTAAGGTTAGATTTCATAAGCAGCTTAGTATCATGGCTATGAATACTAATGTCAAATTATAAAGGGAAACGACGGCAGAATTTGAGTGTGTCTTACATTCTTGCAGTTCTGGGGCAGACTATCTTACATACATATCTGGAAAGTACATATGTGCTACTTTCCCCAGATCTATATAATAATTTCCCCAGATCTATATTCAAGGGAAGATGTAACAATCAAACACGCTTAAAGTAAATTTTGCCATTTGCTTAAGCTTCCAAACGTCGTTTTCATAAGTTTCCTATAAATGAAGGTCCAATTAAACGTGCCATAACCGTAACCATATAAAAAATTTTTATATTTTTGTAGAAATATGTAAATTACAGCTATTATGTGGCGTTTCCACTGCACTTGATTCGCTCTCTATTCGTTGTTTGACCCTCAACTATGAAAAAACTACTTAATTCTTCACACAAAATTTCCTGAGCGAACACTCATATTTGTACATTGTTCAAATCAAATCACTCTCAGAACAACGAAAAAATATGTCCCATCCCTAACAAATGAGAGCATTTATCGAAAAAATTAATTATGACATTTAAAAATTGAAAATAGAAAAATTTAATGAAATTTTGAAAAATTTTGGGAAGACTGAAATTTATGAATGAAAACTACAATGTAGAATAGCGTATGTACATTCAAACGAAAGTAAATTTTGTTTTCTCTCTCATCCGAGGTACGCATTTTGTCCACGAGTTGAAATTTCCACAGAAAACAGGAAACAAAAGAGGCAATATTTTCAAAATGTTTGTATCGGCAGAAAAAATGTTTGACAAGTGTCTCTCCAGCAGAATTTAAAAATAGAAATATACAAAAATATGTTCAAAATGTCAACATTCACACAAAAAGTTGGAAACGTGAATGAAAATTATAAAATTAATGTTTTAATAAATCTTTGGGAGAAAAATAATCATTTCTTCTATCCATATTAGTGAGAATTTTATGTATTTTAGTATAAATTCCCATTAAAATCAACAAACAAAATTTTGAAAAAAAGGAATTATTTTACTATGAATTACGAATCGTGCCGTATGAACGGGTTAATTCGTGTACCTAATTCTGAGAGCGAACAACGTTGTTCGGTTTCCAATGGAAACATGCTATTATTGGTTAAGGCATCGATAACATTTAATGTGTGTGCGGTCAATGTTATGGATATGGCTACAGCGATGTTATAAGTTACGTCTAACTTCACCTTAAAGGCAGCTTTAACATCGGGCAATATTCCAATTTTAATTCAAAAAATCGTTAAACCAACGACTCTAATATCATCAATCACATAACAGCTGCTGTAGAGTGCAATATGGCAACTAAAAAGTAATTCATTATCTTATAACGGTTATCGATAAACCGATTATCGACATCGCCCCTCTCCCATCGCTGCCGCGCACATGTGTTTATTTTCTTATTATTTGGAAATTAAACAAATCGTGTTCTTTGGATTCTTTAGAAAGTAAAAAATAAAAGAAAAATGTTGCGAAGGCAAGCTCGACTTAGAAGAGAATATCTTTTTGAGAAGGCAAAGGAGACCAGAAGACACAAGAGTGAGGAAAAGAAACAAAAGCTGATCAACAGTTTGACAAATAACAAGACCATACATCCGAGTCTGCAACGAGAGGCTATTGGCATACAGGAGAAACTAAAATATAGTTTGGGTAAGGAATTGTAAATGGAATTTGTGTTTCCATAATTCTTAATATTCTCATTTGCCCTCCGTAGATCAAGAAAATCCCAATGTTGACGATGAGTATCGTTATGCCGGCAGTGAAGATCCCAAAATCATGATTACCACCTCCCATGAACCATCGGCCAGACTGAAAATGTTTGTCAAAGAATTGCGGCTCATCTTCCCCAATGCCCAACGCATGAATCGCGGTAAATACGAACTTAAACAGCTGATACATGCCTGCCGGGCAAATGATGTGACCGACTTTATCATTGTCCATGAACATCGTGGTGTTCCCGACAGTTTGGTCATATGCCATCTGCCCTACGGACCAACGGCATTCTTTAACATTTCCGGTGTGGTAATGCGCCACGACATACCCGATATTGGTCCGATGAGCGAACAAAAACCTCATTTAATATTTCATAATTTCAAAACAGATTTGGGTAAACGTACAATGACAATATTGAAACATTTATTCCCTGTACCAAAAGAGGATTCGAAACGTGTCATAACTTTTGCCAATCATGATGATTACATTGCCTTCCGGCATCATACATATCAATATGTTAACAAAGAATTGGAAATGAAAGAAGTTGGACCGAGATTTCAACTGAAATTGTATCAAATCAAACTTGGCACATTGGATGAGATACAAGCCGCCAATACGGAATGGGTATTGAGGCCGTACATGAATACATCGATGAAGCGTAGATTTTTGTCCGACGACGATGGTTGGTGTCAAGATGAGGTGGAAACGTAAATGGATTTTGTTTTACTAAAAATCAGTAGTTATTTTTTTAAAGGGAAATAAATAATTGATAGTTTTTATAAATAAGGTAAAGTGAGTTTTTTATTTACTTTCTTAATTAGGTGATGTTCAGGTACAACTTACAACATTAATGATGGGATATTAATAGAATGTATTCTATGTATGTAGAGGGCCATTAAAGGTACAGTAAAAAAGCCTTAAAAGGCTATTTTGTTCCATGTCTATGCTCAATAGGAAGCTTTTCAGGGGTTTTTTCCTTAAAGAGTACTTTCTTATAGGGTTTCTACTTTCTATAGAAAAAGATCTTCAATATTTAATAAAAAGCCTTTAAAGTTCTTGCACGTTCAATAGAGGGCAATCAAAGAGGTCCTGCGTTTAAAAGCAGACCTTTAAAGAGATCCCATATTTAATAGAAAAAAATTCTTAAAACTTCTCCTTGCCCAGTAGAAGTTCCTTTAATTAATTCTAAGCTTAATTGTATGCCCTTTGAGTTTTCAATAGAAGACCTTCAAAAGTATTTTATGTAATACAAAGTTCTCAAGAATCGTCTATATCAATGTTTTCTATTGAACATAAAATTTCTTGTTTTGAATACAAAACCCGCAAGGAATCCTATTTATAGCCCCTTTTTCAACAGATGACTTTTAAAAGGCTTCTTCCTCTATCCTCTGTAGAGCATACTTTAAGAGGTACGAAATTGAAGATTTCTAGGGGGCTAATAGGTCCTTTAATAGAAGGCTCTAAGGGGAGAAATGATCTCTCACTGGGTTACATGTTTAATAGAATTAGCTCCTGTACTTCCAGTTTTTAGTAGCCTAAAGAGCTCGAATGTTAAGTAACAAGTCCTTGTCCCCTCGCTATTTAAAATGTATCTTTCTTCTCTTCAGTTTAATTTGTTTTGAGTGGCATTCTTTTTGCCCTATCTTGTTTTAGAAAATGTTAGTTTAATTTACAAAATAATAATTTAATAATTAATTCAAATTTCCATGCATCATAACCACCGTTGTGTAAAAACGCTCTAACACAGCCTTCTTCTCACGTCGTCATTACCGAAACTATGAGTCACCCTGTTTGCTGATTTTGCTCTCTCCCCAACATTTTATCTCTCTCAGGCGAAACGTCAAAATTTGTCATCGGGGGTTTTATTGAATAGCTGAGAAAAATAATTTTTGCCCATATAAAAATGTAAATTATTTATATTAAAACATCGAAAACAAAACAAAAAGTTAACAAGAATTGAACTTTAAATACTCAACAACAAGAAACAAAAGAAATAAAAAAGATCATTAGCCGTTTTACTAGTAAAAAAGTGTTGACAAGATTTTCTAGGTGGGGCTAGTTGCTGCTGTTGATCTAATTACAGGCCAGACGATATATAGAGGATTTTTTTGCGGTCCCCCTCAACTCGAAAGCAGCCACCATGGCAAGACCCATCTATCCGAATCAGCAAAAAATTGCTGAAAAACTAATTATTCTGAATGATCGCGGTCTGGGCATATTGACCCGGGTGTATAACATCAAGAAGGCATGCGGTGATACAAAATCAAAACCTGGCTTCTTATCGGAAAAGTCATTGGAGTCTTCCATTAAGTTTATTGTCAAGAGGTTCCCCAACATTGATGTAAAGGGCCTGAATGCCATTGTGAATATCAAGGCGGAAATAATCAAGTCTTTATCTCTGTATTACCACACGTTTGTGGATCTACTGGATTTTAAGGATAATGTATGTGAGTTATTAACCACCATGGATGCTTGCCAGATACACTTGGATATTACTTTGAACTTTGAATTGACCAAAAACTATTTGGATTTGGTGGTGACCTATGTTTCCTTGATGATACTGCTGTCCCGTGTGGAAGATCGTAAAGCGGTGTTGGGTCTTTACAATGCCGCATTTGAATTACAAAACAATGCCTCGGATGCTGGATTCCCAAGATTGGGCCAAATGATTTTGGACTATGAAGTGCCGTTAAAGAAATTATCGGAAGAATTTATACCCCATCAACGTTTGCTGACAAATGCTTTGCGTTCTTTGACCACAATATATCCTTTGCGAAACTTGCCAGCCGATAAATGGCGTGAAATGCAAAAGCTGAGTCTGGTGGGTAATCCTGCCATTTTACTTAAGGCAGTACGCACGGACACCATGTCCTGTGAATATCTTTCGTTAGAGGCAATGGATCGCTGGATAATTTTTGGTTTAATGTTAAATCATCCCATGCTGGGTCAATATCCCGAGGTGAATAAAATTTGGTTATCGGCATTGGAATCAAGTTGGGTTGTGGCCCTGTTTCGTGATGAAGTCTTGCAGATCCATCAATACATTCAGACTTTTTTTGATGGCATCAAGGGCTATAATAAACGTATAAGTGAGGTTAAGGAGGCCTATTCGAATGCTGTGCAAAAGGCTGCCCTTATGCATAGAGAACGCCGGAAGTTCTTGCGCACTGCCCTCAAAGAGTTGGCCTTGATAATGACCGATCAACCGGGACTGCTGGGACCAAAGGCTATTTTTATATTTATTGGTTTGTGTTTGGCCAGGGATGAGATCTTGTGGTTGCTAAGGCATAACGACAATCCGCCCTTGCTTAAGAATAAGGGTATGTAGGACAATTTGTTGATTTTATTAGAAAATGTAATTAATCTTCTTTAATTTGATTTAAGGCAAAAGCAATGAAGATTTGGTGGATCGTCAATTGCCGGAATTGTTGTTCCACATGGAAGAACTACGCGCCCTGGTGCGCAAATACAGCCAAGTCATGCAACGTTATTATGTGCAATATCTATCTGGTTTCGATTCCACCGATTTGAATATACGCATGCAAAGCCTACAGATGTGTCCCGAAGATGAAAGTGTTATCTTCTCTTCGCTCTACAATACAGCCTCCAATTTGACCGTGAAGCAAGTAGAAGATAATGAACTATTCGACTTTAGGGCCTTCCGTTTGGATTGGTTCCGTTTGCAAACATACATGAGTGTGGGCAAGGCAGTTTTACGCATTCAAGAGCACGTTGAGCTGGCTCGTCTGTTGGACTCCATGGTCTTTCACACCCGCGTGGTGGACAATTTGGATGAAATCCTCGTGGAAACTTCCGATTTGAGCATTTTCTGTTTCTACAGTAAAATGTTTGATGATCAATTCCATATGTGTTTGGAATTCCCGGCACAAAATCGTTATATTATTGCCTTCCCCCTGATTTGCAGTCATTTTCAAAATTGTACCCATGAAATGTGTCCTGAAGAACGTCATCACATACGCGAACGTTCTTTGAGTGTGGTGAATATTTTCCTCGAAGAAATGGCTAAGGAGGCAAAGAATATTATTACCACCATATGTGATGAGCAATGCACCATGGCAGATGCCCTACTTCCCAAGCATTGTGCCAAGATATTATCCGTACAATCGGCCCGTAAAAAGAAAGATAAATCGAAAAAACAATTTGACGATATACGTAAGCCTGGCGATGAATCATATCGTAAGACCCGTGAGGATTTGACCACAATGGATAAGTTGCACATGGCCTTGACCGAATTGTGTTTTGCCATCAACTATTGTCCCACAGTGAATGTGTGGGAATTCGCCTTTGCCCCCCGTGAATATTTATGTCAAAATTTGGAACATCGTTTCTCCAGAGACTTGGTGGGTATGGTTATGTTCAATGCGGAAACAATGGAAATTGCCAAGCCTTCGGAATTGTTGGCTTCGGTAAGGGCATACATGAATGTTTTGCAAACGGTTGAGAATTATGTGCACATTGATATGACAAGGGTATTCAATAATTGTCTACTGCAACAGACACAGGCTTTGGATTCGCATGGTGAAAAGACCATTGCTGCATTGTATAATACATGGTAAGTGGTCCGCTGTGAATTGCTGGTATAAAAATCGCCTAAATTTGTTTTTTTTTTTTTTTTTTTTTTTGTTTTAGGTACAGCGAAGTCTTGTTGAGACGTGTTTCGGCCGGCAACATTGTGTTTAGCAACAATCAAAAGGCCTTTGTACCCATTTCCCCAGAGGGTTGGGTACCCTTCAATCCCCAGGAATTTTCGGATTTAAATGAATTGCGTGCCCTGGCCGAATTGGTGGGCCCCTATGGCATAAAATCTCTGAACGAAACTCTTATGTGGCACATTGCTAACCAGGTGCAAGAATTGAAATCTTTGGTGGGCGTCAACAAAGAGGTATTGATAACTTTGCGTACAAGTTTTGACAAGCCCGAAGTTATGAAGGAGCAATTCAAACGTCTACAAGATGTTGATCGGGTGCTGCAACGCATGACCATTATTGGCGTCATATTATGTTTCCGTAATCTTGTCCATGAGGCTTTGGTGGATGTTCTGGAGAAACGCATACCCTTCCTCTTGAGTTCTGTTAAAGATTTCCAAGAACATCTACCGGGTGGTGATCAAATACGTGTGGCCTCTGAAATGGCCTCAGCTGCGGGGCTAATGTGCAAAGTTGATCCAACATTGGCGGCAACTTTAAAATCGAAAAAACCCGAATTCGATGAGGGTGAACATTTAACAGCTTGTCTTTTGATGGTATTTGTGGCGGTTTCCATACCCAAATTGGCTCGCAATGATAGTTCATTTTATCGCGCCTCCATTGATGGTCATTCCAATAACACACATTGCATGTCAGTGGCCATAAACAATATATTTGGGGCATTGTTTACCATTTGTGGCCAAAATGATATTGAAGATCGTATGAAAGAATTTTTGGCCTTGGCCTCATCTTCTCTGTTGCGTTTGGGTCAGGAATCGGATCGCGATGCAACACGTAATCGTGAATCTATCTATCTGTTATTAGATGAAATCGTTAAACAGTCACCATTCTTAACCATGGATTTATTGGAATCCTGTTTCCCCTATGTCCTAATACGTAATGCCTATCATGCTGTCTACAAACAGGAACAAATATTAGGACTTTAAATAGCACTTATTTATAGATTCGAGATGTAGATGTAGTTTTTATAAGGATATTCAATGCATTGCACACAATAAATACGGAGGAAGAAGAAGAAAAAGCATAGGGAAGTTAAATTCATGTAGGGCAATAACCATGATTGGCTCCCCGTGGAGAAGACTTTCTTCTAGCAAATCAAGTAAACGAAATTAAAACAATAATTGTATCGTGTTTTTTACAAGTTTTTTTCTCTTTTTTATTTAGTTTAAGCTCTCTTTCTATTCAAAAACATTTTTTCATATTATATACACATCTAAGTATATAAGAAGTATTAAAATAATCAAGTAACTCTTAATTTAAGAAATTTACGTTAAGAACAACCCATTTCAAAAATAAACAAAAGCAAATTAAACCAAATTCAAAGGAGACAACTCGAAATAACCTATTAATCAAAAAACGGCAGATCCTAAAACATTTCAGAAAGAAAATGTTAAGTTTATGGTAAAAAGGCAAAAGAATTAGTTCCATTGTCTGCTACCGAATTTCTTAAAAGAAAATTGTATGTCTGGATGAAGATACTTGACATAGTTTGCAAAATAAATTTTAGTTTATGGAAAAGTAGAAAAAGCATCATCCTGTCCAAGGACTAAGAATTTTTTGCTCCGTTCCTAAATTTTGAAGGGGAAAAAATTTTTTTTATTCATATTCAAAACCTTGCCCCCCAATTTTCTTCCAAGAAAATGTGTTGTCTGACTTCTGAGTATGAAAATATTATTTAAATTTTTTTCTATAGAATTTAAACATAATTTATACAAAATAAAAATAAATAATTATAAAAATAATTAAAAAAAAAACAATTACATTTTTACGAAGAAGAAACATGGCAAAAACATGGAACACAAAATGTGTGTTGTGAGAATAAAATTTGTTTCTTTTTTTCGATTCGATAAAACAATGTTCTTTACTAACTACAACTAGTGACTTTATGCGATTTTTTGTTAACTTTTGTAAAAAAACTAATCATATTGCTTGCATAGTTTTTTTGTTTACATGTAAAATCAGTTAAAAACAAAAATCTTGTAGAGCAGGCCGGCAGTTTAATTAGGTTTTGTTGAAATAGGATTGGTATACAATACCCAGGGAAGAGCTGGCAAATAATGTGAAATAACTCCACCAGGCGGCAAAACCCAAAATTCCCTTGTAGACTTCTGTGGTAAAGACCTGCAACAACACACAAACAAAAGCCAATTAATTAAACTACATATTTCCAAGAAAAGAACATTAAAACATACATTTTTCAAACTCATCAAAGATGTGTGTAAATTTTGTGCTGAGGTCATAATATTGAATTCATTGCTAGCTGCTGGCTCTTCAGTCATAAGGCTAGAGCCTATGCCACTGCCTTCCAAAAATTCTTGGGCTGTTGAACTAATAACTGCAGCTGCTGCTGCTGGGGGTTCCAAGTCGGCCGAACACTCGTGCTGTAACACCGATTCACTAAACAAACCCGTCCAACTGAAGCCACCCAAACTTTTGTACATCAATGTCAAATATAGGCACAAAATTATGGGGGCAGCAAATTGTAAGGTCACCACACAAAGATAATAAAATATGGAAGAAATCTAAAAACAAAAACATTTCAATATTTATTAGAATTCAAAATCTCTTCACACTACCTTCTTTTGATATTCCACATTTGTAATGCGTCCGGCCTCTTTACGCAAATCCATAATTTTGTCATAGGCCAAATTTAAATACGATTGTAAATAGATGGGCATTAAAGCTATTCTTAAGACAACGGCTAGGACAACCAATATCAGACGTAGGGTTTCAAAAACATGAGGTTTCATTCTAGAAAACCGAAAAAGAGAAATATTAACATCACATGTATACCACAATTATGGTTATATGACTTACAATGGTGCATCCATTCCTTGGAAAACCCTCACAGTCAAATAATCTCGGCTAACAGGTCGTATCCATAAAATCACCAAAATAAATGGCAACACAAAGCTAATATTTAGGAGGACCTTTTTAACTTTACTTTCTTCGCAATACTTCAATGAATCCCAATGCATTTTGGCCATACGCAGGCCGGGGAAAGTGAACAGGGAGCCCATGATGCCACAACAGGCGGCCATAACCAATTTGACAATCAGTTTGGAAGCAGGACCACTGAAAAGGTGAAAGAAAAAACAATAGATTAAAAAATATATATATTTAAACGGTGAAAAAAAATGCGCGATTTCGGAATTTAAACAAAAAACATTTTTTTAATCTTCAACAATTCAAGTAAGTTTTTTTATTCCAAACTTTTGGTATTCAATCATTTTTTTTGTTTTTTTGTTACTTGAAAACGTGTTTTACAGGGTGAGATGAAAAAACTACAACCAACTTCAGACTGCTGTCATTTCTAAGCCACTAGTACGACAGCTGTTAAAATTATATTGTTTACAAGCGTACAAAAGCATTTTGGTGAGAATTTTCCAGAAAAAAAGTTATTTGTGATGGAACTCCAGCGTGATAGTGTGATTTCTTTATATTTGGCTGGAGAACCACAAGTGGCTATCGTTAGAGCAATAAATCCTTTGTACCTCGTACCATCGCTCGTTACCGTGATACGGGTACCGTAGGCCAACGTCAAGGAATTGGATGAAAGAAAACAGCAAATGGTTCGAAAAGTAAAGAAGCGACTTGATCGACCGAAAAATAACTCGTGACATATCGCAATATTCCATTCGGCAAATATTGAAAAATGAGCTTACCCCTGGCTCCATTTGAAATTCCAAAAGGTGCAAGAACTTACACCGCAACAGAAAGAAAATATACTCAAAAGAGCTAAAGAATTGCTTCGCTTGGCCGAAAGTTTTGAATTGCCGGATTTGATTTTCTCCAATGAGAAAACATTCGTTGTCCAGCAGTAAACAAACAAATGTGATCGTGTTTACTTGTCAAAGAGGTCAGCTGAAATCGGACACCTTCGGTTGTCCACCAGAACTCAAGCGCCGACTATGGTGATGGTGTGGGCCGCCATAACAGCCGATGGTCGCTCTCTGCTCGTATTAATCGACCGTGGTGGCATCAGAATAAATGCCGAATATTATCGCGAAAATATTCTGGAGGGTGTATTGAAGACTTGGACACGAAAACATTTTGGCCGCAGACCTTGGAAATTCCAAAAGAACTCAGCACGCGCCACCCAAGAATGGTTACAAAATGAGGTTCGTCGCTTCATTCCCAGCTCACAATGGCCGCCAAAATCTCCGGATACCAATCCGTTGGACTATTGTGTCTGGAGTATTTAGGAAAGCAAGGTTGGCACTAAAAAATACCAAAGTGTCGATCACCTAAAGCAAGCGCTTCACCGGGAATGGGTCAAAATGCCGCAGAGCAACATATGGGCAGTTTGCGGGCCATAATTCGTGCCAAAGGTGACCAATTCAAACAAATCTAAACTTATTCTAAAATTTGATGCTATTTCCGACATTTTTGCTTTCATTCAAATTCTAATTTAAAGAAGTTAAAAAGCAGTTTGTTCGGCCGGGCCGAGCTTTGAATACCCTCCACCATTTAGAACGAATTTGGAAATAAAATCCCTAAAAAATGCTGTTAAAATTTTAAAAATACCGAATATAGCCGTTATATTGTTGTTTATACGACGTGGACCTACATAGTGATTGTTTGTCATAAGTCATTACCATAATCAAATTCGAAACTTGAAATAAACGGTGAATAATGTAGCTAAATTCATCAAAATATTGTATATAGGGAGGTACCGTTATATCGGAGCTGTGCGAAAACATGGACCAGCATAGACAATTTTCTGTCATAGTCTGTATCACCCATTTCGAACTTCAAATACCAAATTTTAAACAATTCCTGTGAATAATGTCGCTAAAATCATTAAAATACCGAATATCAGGAGGTACTGTTATATGGGGGCTATATAAAAACGTAGACCTAAAACATGTAAAAATTATGACGTTTAACTTTGTTGCACTTTCTTTATCTCACCCTGTAAATCTGCGATTAATTAAAATATAATTCTTAAAACCTCTATTCTTGGTTCGAAAAATTTCTTAAGAATATCGCTATGCTTGTTAATTCCAATTCACGATATTCCCTAACTTTACTATCAAAATAAAAAGAAATAGGAAAAAAATGTTTGAAACTTCCAATTCCTACTACCCATTCCACGACGTCTGTATATTTATTGGTTCAGACGCCTAAGGTATTTCAATGGACCCTTTAATTTTTTAAAATACTAAAAGGACAACCTTGGTTGATCATACATGTTGACTAATTGAATGTATATACTCACTTTGATTGTATTCCCTGATCGCTTAAGAATTTCGAAGCACTTGTATTAAAACTGGCATAGGCATCCTCTAGACCAGTTTCCAAAATACTTTCATCTATAATGAGGACAATCATTGCAATTAATAGATAAACCAAACATGCTACAATAACCATAGAACGTTCACCAATCGAATCTTCACTTTGGAAATATAACACCGTCAGAGAAGACAACAATTTCCTAAAGAAAAAAATTAAAACAAAACAATAAATTAAAACAATAACGTCACTCATTGATAACAGGCAACAAATCACAGATAATCAATAAAAACATATCTAACTCAAGAGGTGCAATGATAACCATGAATATAGGTAGGTATTTTATACTTACACAGCAAAGAAGACAACCAACAGACACCACACCATACTAAGGTTAACCTCATTTTTTAAAGGAATAAAATAGTGATAGACCTAGAATTGCAAATGCACATTAATCAATTAGCATTTAGGTGAGATGTGGATGACTTACCTCTGATATAATGTAAACAATGGCAGCATAGATGCTGAAATCCAACAGCCATTGATATTCTGTATAGTAACGTAAATGTATTACATCGCGGGCCGTTACCGGTGATGTTTCCAAATCAATTTCTATGCTGCGTGGTACATGGAATTGTCCCTCCTTGGGATTGTGATGGGTACCATTTTGATAGCCATGTTTACCTTTACCACCTTTCTGAGGCTTCTCCTTAGGTACCCCAGCCTTAGCTCTCAGCTCATCATCGGTGGGATGCAAATAACGATAGAGACCGGTTGAACACAATATCCATTTGGCAAATGACAGATGTGCATTGAATTTCTGTATTATACTGACCACAACCAGCGTTATAACCAGTTGAGCTCCCAATATGGCCTGCAACGAAAAAGGGACAATTTACATTTGTCTCAGCAATTTTTTTCCCAGCCGCCAAAAGGCAACGTAACAAAATTTGGGTCAAAGCAATTCTATTTTTGGTCAATATTCATATTCAAGCACACACATATATGTATGTACAACGTTTTTCTCTCCAAAACATATGAATTAAGAATTTTTCCGCTGGCCTTACCATGCTAATTGACGGTGGTTATTTTTCCTTGTCTAGTTCTTGAATAAATGCTTCTTCTGTATCTGTATGTGCAATGCGTTGATGAGTGTTTGATGCTACTTCCAATGGAGTCTTATTTAATACATGACTTTAATTTGTTCTTAATTAAAAACGGAAATACGAAATACTTTTTAACTAAAAGAAAAGATGAGCTGCAGAGTTTAGTTCTGCCTCCCAACCCGATTGACAATCAGCTGGCTTGCTTGTGCTACAAAAATAGAACTGACTGTGGTGTAAGAATACAGGTAGATGCTTCAGCACTTGTGAATACTGATATACTAAAAATATTAAAAGTTTCTGCAAAAAAGGTGTATCTTAAATATATTTTTTTAATAAAACGTCATTTGGAGGAAACAGTGACCAGAAAATTAAGAATATGAAGAATTTACCATTCAAAATTTTGAAGTACAAAAATGTTTTGAAGGTTCATATCAAAACTTGTGTTGGTGCGACTACCCGCATTATTGTATTATGGAATTGACGTTTTGAGTGATATTAACTATAGGTTTGTCTGTTTTAATTTTACTTTAAAAATTGTGTATCAACCTATTTTTTTGGAGATGATACATACGCAAACATCTCGGCATAGTAGCAACGCATGGTAGAAGAATATAGGTAGACGCATCGACACAGCTGCTAGGACAGTAAACTGTCAAACCAAATTTGCAATTGAAAATGTTGAATGAAAAATTATTTAAATTTGTAAAAATTGTTGAAAAACGAGTATTATAATATCCTCCGAATGACGTCGTATAAGAAAACATATAAAAATCTACTTATATTTGAAAAGAAATTTAAAAAATGTTGACAGATCAATGCTCCCAAGCGTTGATGCATCTACCTGTATTTTTCTACCATGGTAGCAACGTAAGTATCTAGAATCGTGGATTAATTTTTTTTATTGTCCGGAACAAAAGCAATATTTTTTTTCTATTTAAATAATTAAGTTACAAAAAATCGACAATAGGTGCTTCTTAAATATTTTAGTACTGCAATTTTTATACCATTCACGTTAAAAAGTGTATATTAACTTTGTCATTCCGTTTGTAACATCTCTAAATATACGTCGTATACTAAATCGATTTAACGCTGTACGTCTGCCTGTCTGTCTGTCTATCTGTCAATCTGTCGGTCTGTTGAAATCACGATACAGCCCACATTATTTGGTATTGAAAATGATGATATATCGGTCCACCTCCCGATATTCGGTATTTTAATGATTTTCGCCACATTTTTCTACGGATTTGTGCAAAAATTTGTATTTTTAGGTCATAATGTCGATGGCAAAACATTGTATATATACCTTCCGATAATCGGTATCATAATGATTTTCATCACATTTTTCACGAATTTCTCTAAAAATTGGTATTTGTAGTTCATAATGGGTTCTAGGTTCGGTGGTGAAACTTTGTATGTGTAGATCCACGTTTTCCTATAACGCACATATAACGATACCCACCGAAATTCGGTATTTCGATAATCCTAGTTACATTTACCCACGAAATTGTTTCGAATGTGGTATTTAATAAGATTTGGTAGATGACATTCCTTGAAGTACAAAATTGCCTATATCGGTTCCCGTTTTGGTATGAACCCCGTATAACGGCCTCACCTATTTTATAGTTTTTTGAAAAGTTTAACAACATTATACAAAAGGTCCTACTGGTATTTGTTGTTTGAAGTGGAACACGCTTGAATTCAGATACTCTTATAAAAAATCGTTTAATTTACCAAATGGTGGAGGGCATTAAATCTTCGGACCGGTTGATCTTAAAGGTAAGTATACATAAGCAGCTCGACATCATGGCTAGGCACATTAATGTGAAATTATAATAGAAAACGACAGCAGAATGTGAGTGCTGCTCTGGCATTCCTTTATGATGTGTCACATTATATGCCATGTAAAGACTTGAAGCTGTTTATGTACTTTCACCTTCTTTAATGCCAAATGTTGTGGATTTTTTTGATGCAGAAAATCTTGAATTTTGAGTACTAAAAGATATGAAAAAAATACACCTTGGCATCATGGTATGGTGACATATCATAAAGGGATTCCAGAGCCGCAACTGAACTATACCGTAGTTTTTCCTTATAATTTGTCATTAGCATGCCATCATCCCGATTTCAAAATTAAATTCCATAGCGAATGCGTCACGTAAATTTTTAATCATAAACCCAGCGCATATTTATTTGGCTATGGAATTAACATTTGAGATCGTGTGGGTTTCGTAAATCTAAACGCACTTTAAGAACCGAGCATTAAAGTTATTTTAAAATAATCGTGCATTTAATACAATTTGTTAATATCAATGCAATGAAGGTAACCTTATTTCAAATTAGCATTCCCAGCTCTGAATTTTCTGTAATGTACTTTGTCGCATTTTAATGCATAAAAAACAGTTCCCATCTCTGATTTTGTCTGTATACAATGGATTTAGAAATATAGATTTTGACAATGAAATGTTGTCAAATGCATAAATTTGAAAAAAAATGTAAACATATGATTATTTGACTTTACCTTTTTAATTCTACCATGGTTAATATAGTCATATTTTTGTTTTCTAAATGTAATGGTATACTATATACATTATGAATAGCGATTCCTCGAAGTATTACAAGATTTGAACAGGCAGCCGACAATTATAGTTGTGTTCCAGTACTTTTTTAGTAGTAAAACTAGCAGAAGAGAGAACAGTTCGAAATGTCATTCTCAATTAGGTGTGCTCAAAAAATAAGGGAACGGAAAATTAGCAGAAATGCGATAAAATGGCAAAATTCAAAATTCCAAAAGGAAACAGTCTAAATCGGACTGGTGTACCCTTACTGAAATGGACGCCAAAATTTAAAAAAATGAGTATTGAAAATAAGTTGAAATTAATAATTATTTTTGAATGCTGGTTATTTAGAAAGTTTTGTTTCAGAATGCGTTGAAGAGTATTTAGAGGTGGAGTTTTCTCAAATCCCAACCGCGGAGAAGCTGACATGGTTGGAGCCGCCGGTTTAATTAAGTCTGCTAGAAAACTAAATGCCACAAGTTGGGAAGACAGCCAACCTAAAAAATAAAAAGAACATGTTCAGTAATAAGCGAACATCATTGATTTTTAGCTTAATTTTTCTATTAACCTTTCACTAATTTTGCACTGTTTTCCAATACGTTTTCTTCGTCTGATTCCTCATTCAGGTTGAAACATTTTTCAACCTTGTTAGCCCTGCCAATTAAATGTCAAATTTACAATTTGCACATTTCTGCTCGGCCAAATTCATGTAGCTAAAACAAGCAGAAATGTGCACCACTCAGCGCCATTTTTTTGTCGAGAGGGTTGCAAGTTTTGCTAGTTTTTGGAGTACGGGAACGCGTTTTAGCAGAATTAGCACTAATTAGTACTAATTTGTAGGTTCTGGAACACAACTTATATATTGAGAGAAAGGATATGAAATAATTTCAATTAAGAAGTTTAGGAATTTTGTATTAAATAAACCAAAAGTCTTCATTTTTGATATGAAAATAATGAATGCAAATTAATTTTTTAATAATTTTTGTAAAAATAAGTGAATTTTTATATGTTTTCTTACACAAAACAATTGTTTATTATGATGCAATTACCTGTATTCGTCTACCGTGGTATAACGCAAAATATGACTATAATTCGCCCAACTCATAAACTTTTGCATTTTTTATGCGAGCTTTCGACAACCCTGCCGCACGCCAATATCATAAGGTCGAACTGCTGTCAGTTTACTTAAATTTTTGTCACGTTGCTGGTTTGACGGGAAGGTTTTTGTGCTCCGGCATTTTTTGCAAAGTAATAAAAATCAAATACTGAATAAAATAATAAACAAACAGCATTAAAACAATAAAACATTTTCAAGGCATTAACGGAAATAAACAAAACAAACAAATATGGTGGCAAATAAAAGTGCCAGCGTTTCGCCTGAACGGCTGACCAGAGAAGATGTGTGTCGAGTCCCAGAAACCATTTCATTTCCTGCCGAGGAAGAAAACATCCTAGATGAATGGAAGGCCAATAAGACATTTGAAAAATGTATGCAGATATCGAAAGGAAAACCAAAGTAAGTATGGCATGGTGTTGTTTGCGAAGTATATTGCATCATTTACTCCGCATTGCAAGCAATATCTTACGAGTTTGGGGTTTTTGTACATAGATATGTGAGTGTGTTGGCAATTGCGGTGAGTGAATGGTATATGCGTAAATGTGTGCGCCGCTCTGTGTGAATAATGTGACTCAACAAGTTTGGTATTCTTCGTTTCTTTTCTCTTAGATATACTTTCTATGATGGCCCTCCATTTGCCACGGGTCTACCTCATTATGGTCATATATTAGCCGGTACGATAAAAGACATTGTTACCCGCTATGCATATCAGCAGGGTTACCACGTGGATCGTCGTTTTGGCTGGGATTGTCACGGTTTGCCGGTCGAATTTGAAATTGACAAAACCTTGAACATCAAAGGCCCCGAAGATGTGGCCAAAATGGGTATTGCTGCCTACAATGCTGAATGCCGGAAGATTGTAATGCGTTATGCCAATGAATGGGAGAGCATTGTGACGCGTATGGGTCGTTGGATTGATTTTAAAAACGATTATAAAACCCTGTATCCATGGTATATGGAATCTATATGGTGGGTTTTTAAGCAGCTATACGACAAGGGTTTGGTATACCAGGGTGTCAAAGTAATGCCTTATTCAACGGCCTGTACAACGGCTTTGTCGAATTTTGAATCCGGCCAAAATTATAAGGAAGTTGTAGATCCCTGTGTCGTTGTTGCCCTAGAGGCTATTGGTAATGAAAATACCTATTTCTTGGTATGGACGACCACACCATGGACACTGCCATCGAATTTCGCATGCTGTGTTAATCCAAATATGATTTATGTTAAGGTGAGTGCAAATTTTTCAAATTGTTAAAAACATATTTTAACATGCCGTGTTGAATGAATTTAGAATGCACTTTGAGTATTTTCTTTTGTTTCACGCTGCGTTATCGTATGTTTCATCAGAATGCAAATGGTCGATAATATATGCATTAAACAATTCTTGTTCCTAGGGTCACCGGGTGGCATTTATATTTGCAGTTGGTAACACAAGAACTTGAAAGAATATCAGCGCTATGTGTTTATTATTTATGTTTTCATAGATATAGTTTGAAGTATGACTTATTTGGGATTATCACGTGTTTAGATCTGGCCTAACAATAAGACGTATAAATGCTATACTAAAAACAAGCAATTAAGAGACTTGTTTGGAATGGGATTTCTAATCATTCTAATTAGAAAATGCAAATTCGGGAATCACGTTTCAAAAATACTGCTACTTAATTTTCAGAGAGACACTACGTCGATCATATTGAGTTATTCGACCACGCTGGTCATTTTCAAATGCCAATGAATACGAATTTTTAAATTATTTTATAAACACAAGTCGGAAACTACATCGTTAAATGAAAATAAATAACAAGACCTTGTCAGCTTTTCCACATATCTTCGGAGGAGTGTTATACAGCCCATTAAAAATCCCATTAAAAAATATTTTTTTGAGTCAACAGAAACTTCAAATGTTATCCTCATCGTCTAACATCAGCCATCAATCGTTAAAAACTATTGCATACCTTTAGGCATGTTTCAAACTCCCTGATTTTAATTTTGTTTTTATTTTCCTTTTCTCTTCCAGGTAACCGATGTTAAAACTGGTCGCTTTTATATCTTGGCTGAATGCCGTTTGAGCTACGTCTATAAAAACGAATCCGAGTATCAAATTGTCGAAAAGTTTGCTGGTAAAACTTTGGGTGGTGCCCACTATAAGCCACTCTTCCCATATTTTGCCAAACGTGGTGAAGAAGTACGTGCTTTCCGTGTACTCGTCGATGACTACGTTACAGAGGATTCTGGTACTGGTATTGTCCACAATGCTCCCTACTTTGGTGAAGACGATTACCGCGTTTGTTTGGCTGCTGGCCTCATTACCAAATCTAGTGCCGTCATTTGTCCTCTGGATGATTCTGGTCGTTTTACCGAAGAAGTAACCGATTTCAAGGGTCTCTATGTTAAAGAGGCGGACAAACAAATTATCACCTTTTTGAAAAACAGTGGCAATTTGGTATCTTCTGGGCAAGTGAAGCATAGTTATCCATTCTGCTGGCGTTCAGATACCCCCTTGATTTATAAAGCAGTACCATCGTGGTTTGTGCGTGTCGAACATATGTCCAAGAATCTTTTGGCTGCCAGTTCGCAAACATATTGGGTACCAGATTTCATCAAGGAAAAACGTTTTGGTAATTGGTTGAAGGAGGCCCGCGATTGGGCCATCAGCCGTAACCGTTATTGGGGTACACCCATACCGATTTGGAGAAATAACGATGAAATGATCTGTGTGGGCAGCATCAAGGAGTTGGAACAATTGTCTGGCCAACGCATAACTGATTTACATCGTGAATCGGTTGATGCCATAGAAATCCCATCTGCCATTCCCGGCAATCCACCATTGAAACGTATTACCCCGGTATTTGATTGTTGGTTTGAATCGGGTAGCATGCCTTTTGCCCAGCAACACTTTCCCTTTGAAAACGAAAAAGATTTTATGTCAAATTTCCCAGCCGATTTCATTGCCGAAGGTATCGATCAGACAAGAGGTTGGTTCTACACCTTGTTGGTTATTTCAACGGCCCTGTTTAATAAGGCTCCATTTAAAAATTTAATTGCCAATGGTTTGGTGTTGGCTTCCGATGGCCAGAAAATGTCGAAACGCAAGAAGAACTATCCGGATCCATTGGAAGTTGTAACAAAATATGGTGCCGATGCTTTGCGTCTGTATCTCATCAACTCGCCGGTGGTGCGTGCTGAAAGTTTGCGCTTCAAGGAGGAGGGTGTACGTGATATCATCAAGGATGTTTTCTTGCCCTGGTACAATGCCTATCGCTTCCTTTTGCAAAACATTGCACGTTTCGAAAAGGAAGATTTACAAAATAAGGGTCTCTATACCTATGACAAGGAACGTCATTTGAAGAATATTGATAAGGCTTCGGTAATTGACATTTGGATCTTATCTTTCAAAGAGTCTCTACTCGAATTCTTTGCCACCGAGATGAAGGGCTATAGATTGTATACTGTCGTGCCCCGATTGACCAAGTTCATTGATCAGTTGACCAATTGGTAAGTGTTTAAAATTGTCGAATAAAAAGTTTGTCAACAATCGATTTTTCTTTTCAGGTATGTCCGCCTGAATCGTCGCCGCATCAAGGGTGAAATGGGCAAAGATGAGTGCGTACAATCCTTGGACACCCTTTATGATGTCTTGTTTACCATGAGCAAAATGATGGCACCTTTTACCCCCTACCTGGCTGAATACATTTTCAAGCGTTTGGTGTTGTTCCAACCCAAGGGTGCCAGTGAAAACACCGAATCTGTACATTTCCAAATGATGCCTACCTCAAATCGCAAATTCATTCGCTCCGATATTGAAAAATCTGTTGGCCTTATGCAGGCTGTCGTTGAATTGGGTCGTGTCATGCGTGATCGTCGTACATTGCCAGTCAAGTATCCAGTGTCGGAAATCATTGTCATTCACAAAGATCCTAAATGCCTGGAGGCCATAAAGAGCCTTGAAGATTTCATTTTGAGTGAACTGAATGTACGCAAACTGACTTTGAGTTCGGATAAGGAGAAGTATGGTGTCACCATGAGAGCAGAACCCGATCACAAGACTTTGGGTCAACGTTTGAAGGGTAACTTCAAATCGGTAATGGCTGCCATTAAGGCTCTGAAGGATGAAGAAATTCAAAAATATATTAGCCAAGGTTACTTTGAAATTGAAAAGCAACGTGTGGAATTGGACGAGGTTCGTGTTATCTACTGCATTTCCAGTCAGCTTGGAGCCAATTTCGAGGCTCACAGTGATAATGAAGTATTAGTTCTGTTGGATGTTACACCCAATGAGGAGCTCTTGGAGGAAGGTCTAGCCCGTGAAGTCATCAATCGTGTACAAAAATTGAAGAAGAAGGCCCAATTGATACCCACAGATCCCGTTTTGATTTACTACGAATTGAATGCCCCAGCTGCAAAGAAGACCGAAGCCGAGCAAATGCAAAAGGTTATGGGCAAATATAATGCCATGATCAAGACAACCATTAAATCTGAATTCGCCAAGTACAATGCCGAGGAGGCTGGCAAGAAACGTCTCATCATCAGTGAATCTGTGGATCTCAAGGGCATTGATCTCAAACTTACCATTTGCTCAACAGAAGAAGTACAACTGCCCCAATTGAAATGGCTCAATTTGGCCTTGCATGCCGATATACAGCCTCGTTTTGGTAGATCCAATAAGGCCTCACTGCTACTTGAAGATTCAGTTAGCAAGAAGTTCATAACCTATGAACAGTTAAGGAAGGAAGTCGAGGTTCTATTCGGCATCTACGGCATTAATTACCAGCTGTATGTGGTAAACAAACAAAAGGCCGTCGAAGTCAATAGTGTGGATGCCTCTCTCAATGGCAAGCTTTTGATAATTGCCAAGACATCGGAAGGGGCACTTAAATTCCCCCACGATGCCAGGTCGAATATGCCCTATTGCAAATTTGTGAATAAGTCCGGTACTACGGTATTCACTGAAAACCCATTAGGGTTTTCTTTAGCTGCCTGAGCGAAACACAAACGAGAAGAAGACTAAAAGTAGTTGTGTTGCCCCTAAATATATATTCGACATTAGTAGTGAGTGGCTTGTGTTATTTATTTATCCTCCGCATACCCCTCCTCCAATCTTTCCTTATACCTCAATTATGTGAAACATTACCGAAAATGAATTACAGTGAAATATCCGGAGAAATCTTAAAGGTTTTAAAAATACTTAATTTTACAATAAATAAAAATTTGAAAATAAACATTTCACTTGAATTGGCTTTTGTTTGTTGGTTGATGGATTGTATTGGAATTTTATTGGTCTTGTGGATGAAATAAATACATATGCCGACTTTAATATTTAACTTGGAATGAAGCATAGAGGGAATGCTTTTTCCTCTTCGTCCAATTCTGGGCTTTCTAACGGCTCGGTGTTCTTTTGATAACTAAGGTGGAATATAAAACGGTGAAGAATAACATGTCTAGGGTATGTATTGTTTTGAAAATATTTATTAAAAAAATTAAAAAAACTAAATTGTAATGACATGAAATTTGTAAACAGAAGCTTTAATGATATGATTTTAGAACGCTTTTAGAAAGCTTTAACTGTAGTTTTAAACAAATAACAATATATTTTATTTAAATAATATTGATTTTGAGATTTTGTTCTTTTTTTAATTTGTTTTTTTTATTAATGGTATAATTTATTTGGTTAGTTTTTTTAAGTATTTACTTAGTTATAAATAATTTATTATTTATATATGCACGTGTATATTTAATGGTGAATTATGGTGGAAGGTCTACATGTATTTTTGAAATTAATAAACTTAATACAATAAATTTCAAATATTTTAATTTAGATAATTTTGAAGGATAGTTTGAAAAAAAAACGGGTCTTTAATTTGTTGGTGTTGTTGCAAATGGTAACGTTGTCTACTATTTTGAAGGATTTCACTCTCCTCGTTCAGAAAGGAAGCGACTTGTATTGGATGAGTTCATATTGACGTTTTGGTTTTTTGGTTTGGTTGGACAGTTAAGCTCGAACCAGGTATTTCGCTCCCATTTGACCATAAATATAATTCCTGATGAAACCCGGATAAGAATGCCTATCTATGAGATTGTGCTGGACACTGTCGTGTTTGTTCTGCTTATTTGTTACTGGTAGAAATTTTAGCTGAATTCATGGCTGTAATCATTAATATTGAGGCCAGAGTCTGACATGGAAATTTGAAAAATTCCTAGTTGTTGTTGTTGTAAAAACTCATACAGTTGTGTTCATTCTGTTTCCATTTTCCGACTTCATTCAATCTGGTTCTGCCTCTAAGTCCAGTCTCAAAAAGGATGCAACCTGTATGGGTTGAGTCCATAACGAGACAAGAGTTAGGTGAGTAGGCTTGGCTGGATAGCGAAATAGGTGCAGCGTGTCATGTGGGCCTGTGCCACACATCGCTCTTGATCCGGGCCCAGTAGGAATTTAGGCGGCTGCACCATCCGGATCGTAATTGAACCAAAACTACTCGGGATTGTCGGGGCATCCCTCGTTCCTCAGCAGCGACGGGAAGGGGATGGTCTCCTAATACAGTATTCACATTAGAGTGAATACTATTCAGTCCCGGTTGATAGGTCTGTTGATCTAGAGGCTCTCTCTTATACCTCTGCACCTCTCTCTCTAGATCATGAAGGTCTTTCCTTACGTGCCTGGGCGGTGGTTACCTATCCACAAGATGGTGTTTCGGATGACTTTGTCTATAACACCCAAGCAAGTATTGCATTGACAGCATTTTGTTATGCTGTCGCACCGGTAAGACCTTCGCCTCCTCATGTAGGTGGTCGACAGGTGTCTTGAGGAGGCACCCTGTTGCGGTTCTAAGGGCGGTATTCTGGCAAGACTGAATATTTTTCCACTGCGTAGCATAAACGTTGGCGGACCACATCGGAGCGGCATAGTTTACCACAGACCGGCCTATCGCGTTGCAAAAATTCCTAGTAGTTTCCGGGGATGTACCACAGGCTAGGAAAATACAATCAACCCACTCCCAATATAAAAACATGGTTGTACCTCACACCACAAAACACAAAAAAAAAAAATAAAATTAATCCGATATAAAAAATGCTAAGTATGCCTGCTTTGTTTTCCTGTAAGAATTGGTGTGTTCAATGTCATAAAGAAGAAATGGTTTATCTTGTAGGTTTTCGGGACCGAGATAACTTCTGTTTGTTAGTTTAATTTTATTTCTTTTGCAAAAAAAAAAAAAAAAAAAAAAAAAAAACAAGTAAAAAAGCTGTATGTCGGAAATAGAATCAAATTTGAGAATAAGTTTAGATTTGTTCGAATTGGTCACCTTTGGCACGAATTATGGCCTTCAAACGGCCAACGAGACCGTCACACGCTGCCCGAATGTTGCTCTGCGGCATTTTGGCCCATTCCGGGAATCGAAGCGCTTGCTTGAGGACATCGACTCTTTGGTATTTTTTGCTATCCAAAATACTCCAGACGCAATAGTCCAACGGATTGGTATACAGAGATTTTGGTGACCATTTTGCGCTGGAAATGAAGCGTGAAACCTCATTTTATAACCATTCTTGGATGGCGCGTGCTGAGTCCTGCTGGAATGTCCAAGGTCTGCGGCCAAAATGTTTGCGTGCCCAAGGCTTTAATACACCCTTCAAAATATTTTCGCGATAATATCGTCAATTATTCTGATGCCACAGTTGATTAATACGAGCGGAGAGCGACCATCAGCTGTTATGGCGGCCCACGCCATCACTATGGCCGGCGCTTGAGTTCTGGTGGCCAACCAAAGGTGCACATTTTCAGCTGACCTCTTTGGCAAGTAAACACGTTCACTTTTGTTTGTTTACAAACTGCTGGACAACGAATGTTTTCCCATCGGAGAAAATCAAATTCGGCATTTCACCACTCTTTTGGGTCTATTTTCTTTCTGTTGCAGTGTAAGTTGTTGCACTTTTCCGAATTTCTATGGCTTTACTTCGAGCTCATTGCGGACTCTATTGCGTATACGTCATGGTAGAAAAATATATGTAGATACGCCAGCGCTTGGGAACGTTGATATGTCAACAATTTTTAAATATTTTTAGTATTCAAACATAAGTAAATTTTTGTATGTTTTCATTTGCGACGTCAATCGGATGTTATTATAATATGCGTTTTTCAACAATTCTTACGAATTTTATAATTTTTCATTCAAAATTTTCAATTTCAAAATTGGTTTGACAGCTTAATGTCTTATCACCTGTGTCGATGCGTCTACCTGTACTCTTTTAACATGGTATACGTGAAATCAGATATGCAGTTAATTTCATTTGACGTATACGCAATGAAATTAAAAGTTTGAATTCACTTTTTCAATCCTATTCCTCTTCTCAACAGCATCTGGTTACAAACCACCGTTTATCATTTATCAAAAGCCTAAACCTTCAATTCTAAACGATATGGTAACATTGTGATGCTTGTCACAATCATATGTCACACACACTCCCATATTTACTTCGATTACATTTCCTGTTTCACCTTTCCTTCATACCCTGTCATCGCACACTCTGAGAGTAGAAACATGTACAAGAGGATTTTTTGACACTTTGATTAACTGTTATTGTTTGGGTTGGCAAAGAGTATAACGGTGTCGTTGTCGTTGCTTTGTTTGTTTATGTTAACATGCTTGTTGTTGCTTGTGTTTGTTTGGTTCTTGTTGTTGTTGTTTGGCTATAGGGGTAGTTAAGCAAGCGGCAGCACATGATGAGGTGGAAGCCAAACTTGATGAGTTTATTAAACTTTCACGAAACCCTCAAACATGGACAACAAAGCCGCCGTAGAATGTTTTCCACTCAAAACAATGGCAAAGCGCATGCGAGAAATCACAAGAAACAGGGTAAAATGAAATAAAACGGCAAAAAATAGAGAAAACCAAATCTCAGTGTGTTAGCTTTTTTGGACGGTAACTTCGCTGGAAAAAATACGAAGTTTGGTGAAAATTTTGTTACACATCATAACGAGAAGTACGGAGGATTAAGAAACAACACGCATTGATTTGTCGTCGGGACGTCGTTTTTTTTTTGTTGGGGGAGAAAAAAATGGAAAATTATTTAAAAATAGAAAATTTTACAGATTTTCAGTGAAAATAGTTAGAAAAAATTTGTAGATAAATGAAAGTGTAACAAAAAATATATAAAATTTCATGGAAAAGTGATTAACGGAAATTAAAGGAAAAAGGCCAAAATGAAATTAAAAAGGGCGAGTGTCTAGAAAATTTTGTTCCCCGACCCATGCAAAACGGTGAAGAAGTTCAGTGCAAAAGTTTCTTGAAATTTCCTCAGAGTGAATGAAAAGAAAATCCCAAATTTTATACAGAAAAAAATTTTAAGTAAATCTAAATATCCGAAAAGTGTCCCAAAGAAAACGTGAAAAAATCTATTATAAATTTTCTACACACATACATAAAACCCAAGTGGAAAATGGAAAAATGGCTGGCTGCGTAGTATGAAAAAAATAATAGAAACTAACGGAACAAAGGGACTCTCGAAGATGACAGAGAGCAGAAGGAGACGAAGGGCAATACCTTTTTAGAGCAAGAGGTTGTTAATACAAAACACAACAAAGGAAGAAGTTCGTTGCCATAATATAAGTAACGATACAAATAAAGCTGACAAAAAAAAAAAAAACGAACAGAAAAGAAACCCAACCTCATGCCAACTAAAGAGAAAGCAACAAAAATTCAAAATAACCTTACACTTTGGTAACAGAAACAGCAACAACAACAACAACGAAGCATAGAATATCAACCAAATACACAAAGCCAGTCAGATGTAACTGTCACAGGAGTGAGAGAAGAGAATTCGAGTCGAAACAGTGAACTAACGGTAATAATAAAGCGGTATTGTTGAGTGAAAACTCAGTGGGATTTTTTCTCGCTCTCGCTCTCTTTCTTTCTCTCAAAATATTTACACGTTGTTGATACTTTAGCTGGCGGCAGTGGCGGTGGAATTATAAAAACAATTACGAAAATTCGTATAAAAACAAAACGAATAATTGATCGGCCAACAAGGGAAGAACGCAACGAACTCAAGACGACAACAGCAGCAACAACAACAGCACACCAACGGACCAAAAAAGCTGCCACACACCTCATCATCGTGTTGCTTGCAAATAAGAACAGCTCCAGTAAAACTGGCACCGGTATTGCCTTCAAATAGCCTAGCAGCAGGTGGTACAACAGCTGCTGCTGCTGCCGCTGCGGCGGCTGCTGTTCGCCTGGAGAGTGCTTTAAATGTCAACAGCATTAACGCATTTAACGGCAGTCTGGCTGTTAGTAGTGGAGCCCTATTGCACCACGACTCCTCGGCTTCGGCCACCCTAACCAAGTTATCCACATCGCCGCACTTAATGTCGCCCACACATACAGCGGGCACGGGTCTGGGAGGAACGGCAACAGGAATGGGCAGTGGTGTGGGCGGCATGGTATATGGCAATTCGACGACCCTCAACAATATGGCCTCGGTGGGTGGTGCCTCGGTCATTTGCAGCAGTGATAGTGGTATTTCATCAATAATCTCTTCGACACCCTCCCTTACCCAGCTGTCACCACCACCAGCCGTTGTCTCAAATGCCGTTTCATTGGCCATACTGGCCTCCAGCGTCATAACCACCTCCAGCAGCAGCGGCAGTAGCAGTGCCGCCATTACCAACAACAATGGCAGCAGCAATAGCTGTACTCCCGGCAGTGGTAGTGGCAGTGGTGGACGTTGCAGTCCCATAATTGGTGGCATTACGGCAAACCTGACCAATGGTCTGGCCTCATCCTCCTGCATTTATGGCTCGGCGACACCGGCGAATGTGGCCTCGTCGTCCGGCAGTCCCCTACTTTTCACCGAGCGCACCTCGCCAGCCCTCAGCATGCTGAGCAGCAGCAAAACGAAAACCCTTAGCCCTTTGCAGAATTCTTCCATGGGCGGCATATCGCCATATGGCTCGGCCTCCGTGACCTCAGCCGTGGTCGCCACCTCCTCGAACATGGCCAGCCAGTCGCAGAGTTCGACGGGCTCCAACTATCTGAATACCATAAAAATGCTGGGACCAGCTGCCTCCATCGATTTGGGCTCATCACCACTGACACATCGGAATTATCCTACCATTAAAGGTTTTACGTTTCGTAGAAGCTTTGATGATAAAATAATTGCCGTATCGACGTCTGCGGCCGTTGGGCCCGTCAGTAGTCAGTCACAAACGTCACTGGGTGGTCCGGCTGTGTCAGCCTCCCCCTACCTCTCCCATTTCCCGGCCACGGCCTCACACCATCATCACTATCACCATCATTTGCAGCAGCAATCGCCGCAGATACCCCATTTCGCCCATTACCATCCCCAACATCCCTCGCACTTGCACCACAACCATCTGCACCATCCCGCGGCCCATTTGGCCGGGCTGCAACATCACCATCATCATCCTGTCCCTTCTCAGCTGGGAGGTGGAAGTGGTGGCGGCGGCGTCAGCAGTGGTGTCAGCAGCGGCAGTGGTGGTGGTGGTGGTCCATTCCATAGCAATTTCATGTCGTCTGCTGCCGTGGCCAAGCATTCCGTCGCCTCTGCCAACGTTGCCGCCTCATTTTTGCCTCCGCCACTGTATGCACCGCTGACATCGTCCCAGTCGACCACCAAACTATCGCATCGTGATGATTTCTTGCAACAAATTGGATATTTGCCAACCACACGGATTTATAGCACTCCATCCAGCATAGTGGATGAGGATAAGGCACAGCAGGACTTTTTGTCGTTATCCTTGTCGCCCCCATTAAATCGACGTCGTGATATGCCTGCATTGCGTGGACCATACGTTAGTTTGTAAGTATGCAACCGCACTTCATCTTCATCTGTGTCTCGTTCTTCTTCTTTTTCTTCTTCTTCTAATTTTCGTATATCCTTGTGGGTTATTGTCTTTTCCTTTATTCATTCATTTTACTTTCATTACATTACACATTCTTTATCATTTCCGTTTCCTTATTTGTTGAACGGATGCCAAAGTGAGCCTTTGTGTGTGTGTGTGTGTGTGTGCGAGACATGAACGACAACAACAATCAGAAAAATCAGCCGGAATGCACTCCCCAATGCTTTTGAAGGAAGTCCTTTTAGAATCAGCATAATCCTGTTGATGACAGCGTGTGCCAACAGCGAGGAGTGAGAGTAGACTTTATCCACCGGAATTCAGTTTATTAATCCTCGCTCCATTGTGCTGTGTCACTGCTGCAAAAATGCCAAGTCCTTTGTTGTGATTATGCCTCTTTGTGTGTCTGGCAGTGTGTTTGTCAGCTTCTATAATATTCCGAATTCCCATTACGTGGCTGGCTGGCTGGCTGTGGGCTTTGTGGGTTCATTTGCACTCACTCGCACACCAATGCTTCGAGAGCATTCCTCGAGAAAACGTCGATGTGTGTTAGTCATTGGAAATGTCTGCATTTAAAGTTTATTTGTTTAGTCATTATGTCGCCCAAATGACTGACCATGGAAACAAATTACATTCTAATTTATTTTAATATGCAGCTTATGGTCAGTGTGGGAATTGGAATGGTACTACCGTTGATACGATTGACTTTAAGTGGGAAATCTGTGAATTATTTCAGATCGATAGTTACTTAGTGGATCATAAAACTTTGTATTAAATTAAGTAATGGTTTTGAATTAATTTTTAGTCAAGATGATCGCAATGCTTGTTTGGGAAATTTTATGTGGGTACGGTAAAGTTCCTACTTAAAAATGACTTTGTAACTGGTACTGATCGAATTTTGTCTCCCACCTAAAAATATTGTCTTTTTATGTAGAAGTACAGTAAAAATATCAGAGAGGGCGAACAAGTATATATGATGGACCAAAATCGAACTAAGTAAACCTCAAACTCCTTTGTTCTTTTACGAAAAGTCTTAATTTGAGAATACATAAAACGCCTTTTTTACCGGTTTAAGTCATTGGCTGGCTTACTCGAACATGAACAAAGACTCGTAGGACGAACAAGCATGGTACAATAAGGAGGTAGAACAGCTTCGTAAAACTACAAAAATACAGCCCTGAGGCTATGCCGACTCATTCAAAATTATTGTTTTATTTTTTTCATATTTTTCCTCATTTTTTTTAAATGAGTTAAATAGCGCGAAAAATGAATAAAATGTCTGAATTTTCTGTCAAAAATATGATCCTAACTTTCAATCTTTCAATTTCATGGGTATGCTGCTTAATAGCTTTAAGCTGGAAATACATAAAGAGCATATTTGGCTGGCTTAAGTCATCGGCTGGCTTCGTCGTAAATGAACAAAGGAGCCTAGGCCCAAACTCGAACTAAGTCAACCTAAAACTCTTTTGTTCATCTACGAAGAAGCCAGCCGGTGACTTAAGCCAACGAAATATGCTCTTTATGTATTTCCAGCCTTAACGCGCGAGCCGCAATTCATGTGTCTTCCAATCATTGGTTGTGAAAATATTGTTTTTTCATTTTTCAAAACAATAAATACATACATTTGGCCGGGCCAAACTTTTAATACCCTCCACCTTAGGGTAAAAGAAACATTAGAAGAAATGTGGCAAAAACCATTAAAATGCCGAATATTGGGAGGTACCGTTATATGGGGGCTACACCAAAACGTGGACCTATAATTACAATGTTTCGCCACACGAACTAGGACCCATTATAATCCACAAATACAAATTTTTAGACAAATCAGTGAAAAAATGTGGCAAAAACCATCAAAATATCGAAATATGGGGGCTATATCAAATCATGGACCCATGCATGCAATGTTTCGCCACCGGAGCTGGAACCCATTATGACCAACAAATACCAATTTTCAGACAAATCCGGGAAAAAATGTGGCATTAATCATCAAATTACCGAATAACGGGAGGTACCGTTATATGGGGGCTATACCAAAACGTGGACCCATACATGAAATGTTTCGCCACCGGAGGTGGAATCCAATATGACCCACAAATACCAATTTTTAGACAAATCCGTGAAAAAATATGGCATTAATCATCAAATTACCGAATATCGGGAGGTACCTTTATATGGGGGCTATACCAAAACGTGGACCTATACATGCAATGTTTTGCCACACGCACAGGGACCCGTTATGACCTACAAATACCAATTTTCAAACAAATCCGTGAAAAAATATGGCATTAATCATCAAATTACCGAATATCGGGTGGTACCTTTATATGGGGGCTATACCAAAACGTGGACCTATACATGCAATGTTTTGCCACACGCACAGGGACCCGTTATGACCTACAAATACCAATTTTCAAACAAATCCGTGAAAAAATGTGGCATAAATCATCAAAATACCGAATATCGGGAGGTACCGTTATATGAGGACTATACCAGAACGTGGACCGATATATCTCATTTTCAATACCAACCATCCGATGCGAATTGCTCTGCAAAATTTTAGCGCTCTACGTCAAATACTGTGGACTGTATCGTGATTTCAACAGACAGACAGACAGACAGACGGACAGACAGACAGACGGACATCGTTAAATCGACTTAGAATTTTATGCTGATTATGAATATATATACTTTATGGGGTCTACGACGAATATTTAAGGATGTTACAAACGGAATGACAAAGTTAATATACCCTCCTTACCAAGGTGGAGGGTATAAAAATAAGCCGGCTGATGACTTAAACCAGTGCCTTTTATGTACTCTCAGTTTAGGGCCTAAATTTGCATTCTGTCTGGAATTAAGTAAATCCTGTTTAAAACAACAGAAGTATTTTCACTGCGTTGCCATATTTTGACTCTGTCTTGTCTTCTATCTCTATACTTCCATGTCTTTGTAAACAGTCAGGATTTTTTCATCACATTGCCCCATTAAAAAAGAACTATCGGAGTTACTCTCAAGTTCTTCCGTCGTTGTCCCTTCCAAATTGATATTAATATGCCGTGCAGTCATGTCAAACGCAATATGTATCCCTACTTTTAATTCGTGAGGGCATCAACGCTTGGGAATATTGATATGTCATAAAAATTCAAAATATCTTTTTCAAATATAAGTAGATTTTTACATGTTTTCTTATACGACTACATTCGGAGGTTATTATAATACGCGTTTTTCAACAATTTTTACAAATTTAAATGATTTTTCATTCAACATTTTCAATTCCAAAATTTGTTTGACAGTTCATTGTCCCAGCAGCTGTGTCGATGCGTCTACCTATAATCTTCTACCATGGTTCCAATATTGGTTTGACAGTTCATTGTCCCAGCAGCTGTGTCGATGCGTCTACCTGTATTCATCTACCGTGGTTCCTACTAAAAATTACTGAGTAACTGGTACTGAGCGATTTTTTTATCCCACAAATAATAGGTGCGTCTTTCATATTGTCTTTTTATGTACAGGGCGATATAAAAAAACTGGAACAAATGACATAATTTTTACATTTTTTTAAATGTTATTGAATGAAAGCAATAAAATGTCGGAAATAGCATCAAAATTTTAGAATATGTTTAGATTTGTTCGAATTGTCACCTTTGGCATGAATTATGGCCTTCAAACGGCCAATGAAACCGTCACATGCTACCCGGATGTTGCTCTGCGGTATTTTGGCCCGGTGAAGCGCTTGCTTGAGGCGATCAACACTTTGTTATTTTTTAGTGCCAAACTTGCTTTTCAAAATACTCCAGACACAATAGTCCAACGGATTGGTATCCGGAGATTTTGGTGGTCATTGTGCGCTGGAAATGAAACGAGGAACCTCATTTTGTTACGATTCTTGGGTGGCGCGTGGGGAGTGCGATGGTGCTGAGTCTTGTTGGAATGTCCAAGGTCTGGGGCCAAAATGTTTGCTTGCCCAATTTCTTAATACACCCTCCAGAATATTTTCGTCATAATATTCGACATTTATTCTGATGCCACGGTCGATTAATACGAGTTGAGAACGACCATCGGCTGTTATGGCGGCCCACACCATCACCATGGCCGGCGTTTGAGTTCTGGTGACCAACCGAAGGTGCACATCTTCAGCTGATCTCTTTGGCAAGTAAACACGATCATTTTGTGTTTTACAAACTGCTGGGCAACGAATGTTTTCTCATCGGAGAAAACCAAATTCGGCAGTTCACCACTTTCGGCCAACCGAAGAAACTTTTTAGCTCTTTTGAGTCTATTTTCTTTCTGTTGCGGTGTAAGTTCTTACACTTTTTGGAATTTCAATGGCTTTACCCCAAGCTAATTTTTCAATATTTGGCGAATAGAATATTGCGATATGTTCAACTCTCGAGTCATTTTTCATCCACTGCGACGCGGTTTTTTTGAAACTTGAAACTTTTGAAACTCATTAGTAAAAAATATATCAGTTCTCTCCTTGCAATACCTCCCCCACAAATAAAATTAATAAGCAACGCCTCTGTTGTCATATCGAAACAAAATTTCTTATACTACATAGACTCTATTGCAAGTTTTGCATGGCCATAAATTCTGGTGGGAATTATCTACAAACATATTTGCCAAAGTAGTTTTGTTTTCAAATGCCTGTTCTATTTATTTCCTCCTTATATTTATTTATAAATCACAACTATTTATAAGTGGAACATAAAAAACCAAATCAGCGCAACAAATTTCTGTACATATATCTCAAAGCAGAACAGGCCATGAGAGCAGCAGCCAATGTGGCAACATAAAATGCGAGAAACGACATTGAAGCCAGCAAGCGCCGAACAGTGTTTACGAAAGGGAATTTATTCACGACGCATTGTTTTAACTTTTAAGAAGTAAAAATTGAATGACAAATTTAGAAATAAGCAGACCAGTGTTGCCGAATACAGGTAGTCGCGTTGACATAGTTGAA